CTCTGCAAGGACTGAACCAGGAAGCTCACCTTGGGTGCACTGACGACACCTTGGCTGACGAGGTTCGCCACATACACAACCATCTCGGTGTTGCCATTCCGCACACCGCCTTGCAAGCCGGTCATGGCCGCAGAGAGCCAAGGCTTGAGCTGTGGATCCAAAGGTTTGACCTCGTAGTCCCGCTCAACTCCAGTCCGCTTCTTGGGAGCCACATTGAAGATCGGGAAATTCTCCTCCCCGTAGCTGCGGATCTGCATCCACCCGGTCTTATGGAGCGTCTGCAGGGCACACATGGATGGAAAATTCAGACTGACATCTGGCTAGTGCAACAACAAGCTAGCAATCCTCCAGCAGGGAGACAGCCGCTTGCCGCTTGCGCTCCACGTCACCAGACGTTCGCAGCATTTCCCTGAGAAGGCTTAGACGAGTCTGTGTTATATCCAGAGGCAACGGGCACCAACTACATCATGACACAACATACTACGCATGCACATTCATCCGAGACACGAGCGGAAGTGCGCTTGATCATTCAGCAGCTGCCTCTGGAACAACTCAAAGGCACTTCGCTCCGCCTGCTTCAAGGCATTCTGGATCTTCGACTGACCTTGCTCCAGGTAGAGCTGCTGAGCATCGCCCTGGGCTTCCAGGACGAAGCCGAGTCTTTCCGGCTCGAACTTCACATCTTTGGCCTTGACGACCCCTCGCATCTCTGGGTCCAAAGCCCTTGGATGGCCCAGCAATAATTACAAACTGGCACTCATGAAGCAACTCCGTGCACTAAGCTGACATCAAAGCACACACTCTTGGCGGCTGGGGTTTTGTATGAGTTTGGGAGACTGAAACCCAATTCGTTCGAAACTAGAAGACTGGCAAAAGGTACAATGTGCATCTGATGTTGTTTCTGCGTCTATGCTACTTCGGGGGGGATAATGGATTTACATAAAACCCCTCTCTTGCTATACGATGTGAAACGGATACACACAACAAATTACAGGCTACCCTCTAAGTGAGGCAAGGTTTACAGAAATGAATATACATGTGTATAACTGCTCTTCTTGTTACATGTGAATCGGATGCACACATAAACTTGCAGGCCAAGTTCTAGTAAGGTTTAAGGAAACCTATATAGATCTATGAACCGACATCATTCTCGTGTAGTTATGTAAATAGGATACACACACACACCCACACTGACAGGGTTAAGTTGAAAGAAGGTTTAAAGATGAATAGGTTTAAACTGGCCGGGGGGGGGGGGCAAATGTCTGAATTCAACTCACTCAAGTTCTACTAAGGTTTAAGCAAATGAATGTATTTGAAATTCCGGGTCTCAGATTTCTGACATACATTCATTCTAGGAAATGAATGTATTTGAAATTCCCGGGCCCTAGATGTGTGACAGACAGGACCCCTCGGATTCCGTGCCCCAGGAGTCAAATGAATGTATTTTTGCGGTCTTGGATCGATGTCAGGAAAATACACTCATTTGCGCAGATGAATGTATTTCTGTATCTTGCAAGCACGGGTGATGTATTTTTGGATCTTGGGATTCAACTTCCCAAAATACATCACATGCGTTTCCCTCTTGACAAAATACACTCATTTGCGCAGATGAATGTATTTTCGGTGGCCCGGATTCTTATCCCAGAAATACATTCATTTACCTCGTCGGGGTGCATCCCTGGGTCTAGGGTTTACAACCATTTGCGCAGATGAATGTACGATGGGCGTCCGGTGTCGAATTTCGGGAATACATTCATTTCTTCTTCGTGACCCCCGATGTTGGATTATGTTAGTTGGCATTCGTGTGATTCCTGGGAACCTTGAGAATGGACTGATGCATGAATTTTCCTCCCTGGCTGCAGTATAAGTCCCTCAGGCATGAGGAGCCATTGTAGCGGGCTGCAGACTCACCACTGAATCTGAATTATTCCGAGGATTTTCAAACC